AATCTATTCGCTGACTCATCCATTTTCCTATATATATATATATATATATATATATATATATATATATGTACATTCGCACCCATTCACTACCACTACTACTACAACTACTTGCTACTGCTACAATCGTAGTTCGCTTGCTCATTCATTTTGCCCCTCTGCTGTCTGGTCCGAATTATCTACTAAATAAACTGTAGTAGCTGCTTCTTTTTGCCTTCTGATCTCAAACACCGTTGAAGATAATACGATAACGGTTCGGGGGTGATTAGTTAACGAAACACAGCCACTACAACCCGTCTTTTTAAAAAATACTAACACTTAACAAAGACGTACCGCCAAAACTCAAATCACTGACCTTGGGCTTCATCACTCTCACAATCTCAACTTCTTCGAACATTTATCCACTAAAGCCTGGAAATTGCGAAGATATACTGCAGGTGGAAGGAATATAACGGAATTTCACTAGCTGAATGCTTTAAACGGATTCACTGATTGATTATCACTCCCGTTGTTATATCTTACGTCATGATCCCAACTGGAAAGAAAGGCCTAGATCCTATTTGACTCACCAGTATGTAATAATATATATTCTCGGACGACAGTATATTACATGAGGCATTTCACTTTGCAGGCAAAACCGGTGAGACTATAATTTATAGACGACCTTTGGGGGACGCCGAAATGACCCTGAGGGTGGACACCTACTGACTAGGAATAAATGAGGGTTATAGAGCAGTTGTAATTCGCATTTACAGTCGAAGGTTAGGGTAAAAAATTAGATTTAGGGTTTTCACCACGAACTGACATCAGTTATAATGATAGGACTTTATTCAACCAAATGTATGGATGAATTTCGCGCCGAAATTTGTGACTTGTTATCTTATACCTGGTTGGTTCGTTTACAAATTGTAGTCTCACACACAATGATTATACAAACAGGGGATCAATTTTCGCATACTAGAATAACTGTTAGTAAGACTCCAATGTTCAATACAAGAGTTGGCGCGCTTAGCAGAGTTTGCGTCCGATAATGAACTGAATTAAGGTCCTGAGCAGTCATTCGAAGATGACAACCTCATCGTATTATTTTGTGCTTTTTGCTAGTGATAACAGATATATTCTGGGGGTATTAGCGATGGGGAAAGACTAAGTCATTTGTTCCGCAGATGTTTTCGGTGGCAGACCATGAGCGTGCTACAATGGTAGGGAAAAATAGAAAAGAAGAGAAACAGGACAAACAGTGTTCATGACTAATGAAGTTTAGTCACTTATGATGGAACAATTAAAGCATGACTATTAAGAATATAATATATAGACAAATCAATTAGATTTAAGATGACAGGTATTGGATTTTGGCGTGAAATTCACTCACATATTTGTCTAAATGGCATTTTGGCATTTCAACTGACCTAGGTTTCTGATGAAAACCATAAATGTAATTCCAAACCCGAACCATCGACTGTAAATCATAATCTTTATTCCTCAAACTGCCTCATAACATCCATTTAGCCCTAGTTAGTAGATGGAAATTCTCGAAGTAATTAGAGCATCGCTAAAAGGTCGTCCATAAATTATAGCCTCATTCTCATTCTCTTTTCCTAGGTCAGTTTCTAGGTAGATATATTACATCGGGATAATAAAAACAAGCTAAAGTATGACACTGAATGAATAAAGAATTGTACAAATAAAAGTGATTTAAAAGAGCTGAAAGTTTAAGATTTTACGTTTTTAAAGGTTAGTAAGAAAACCAAATGGCTGTTTTTCGTCAAAATCTATAAAACACATTTTCTATTCTTATAACTTTCATGAGTGAACTCATATATAGCGTAATTGTCCCGTCTTATTCGCAAAAGGATTACTCAGTAGGAAGTGAAACAAATTCAGGGTCACAGTCATTAGTCAAAGAGGTGTTTGGCATAAGAAATCGGTATTAGGATTGAGGTTATCCCCCAGCCACCTTTCCCCTCTTTGTGATGCTAGTCTGTCCTACATTGTGGTATGTATGAATGCTGCTTTAATGTAAGCTCTGTGTTGCAAACATTCTTGGAATTCATCCATTCTATTGATTCCATGTCACAAGCAAATCAGGCTAAAGGTTTTATATCGTGGGTTGGACATCCGGTTAGTATATCACACTGCTATGATGTTAACCAACCGTACGAGTCACAAGATACTGGTCAGATAATATGTGGTCTAGGAATGTTATGAACGGGTAGCTGATCAAAGGACATAAATGAATAATATAAGGCTGCGAAATGTATGAGTAAGACGATAAGTAAGAAAACGAAATATTTGGATGACAGCAATTATTTTTAAAGGAACATAAATTTGAACTAAAGGGAATCCACAATTATTTAGGATATTCTAAGCATCCTATGATCGTCGAACAGCACCCATAGGGTTGGTGAGTTATCTGTCTGCGAACTAGGGAGAAAAAAGTTGTTTTGTTCAGTGTTCGTGCAAACGAGGTTTGAGGATGATTATTTATGATTAGTCAATGATCCTCAACTAAGAGATGTGGTAGTCGTTGAAGGGGATAAGAATATTTGACTGGGTCGTGATACAACATCTTTCAAAAGTCCAATGCATGCAACACCATCAATCGTTGTGTGGATGAAAAGAGAAACACGAGAAACATGATTATTTAATAGTTATAAAAAGGGAATACGAGGTATATAACAATAACAACATGTAAAATGTGAAATCTCAAAGGTTATTTGACAAATGACTATTAATGGTTTGTGACGTAGTTGTTACGTCCCAATAAGAACAACGAATGGTAACTATTTGGATCCATTTATGGATCAATACTATACGTACATTTTTATCGTATAGTTTTTAATAACTAAATTGTTCATATCCATGTCCATCTTATTATGAGCTTTATTTTGACCTGTGAACTATTATTATACAATTTACCATTCTTCAGTTATGGCCTGTCTATTAATTACTACCTCCAGTCGCAGTCACATTTGGCTAATTCTTGTACAAATGTTGTTTCATATTTTATGGTACGTTGTAGTCTGTCTGGTTGGTATACAAACCCAGTATGCTTGAAATAGATGATTCATATCGCAGAGGCTGAGGTTGGTGTCCTGGACTTAACAGGCTGAGCTGGGCAGGAAGCAGGACCAATCAGGACACTAGACTGCTCGCATGGGTTTCATGAGTCACTGGTCCGATCGATAACCCACTGCTATCTGATTGGCGGTATCGTTGCGTTATACAGTAAAAAGGACATACAGGTCACTAGTTATAATAGTAGCCACTAGGTGCCAGCTGATTATTCATTCACAAGGTTAAATGTAGGACAGCTCATTTACATGTAGCTTGGCTTAGACAAGCCCCATAGAGCATGCTAGAAACTCCATATTGCTCCACAAGGCAGCCTAGAGAAGATTTAAACTGAGTTAGCATTTCATCTGACATTTACCGGTAACCCATTACAGAGCCTTGCATAGCGTGTGACAAAGAAAGTTAGCCTTAATTTACCTAATGTTCTCGATATCCTGAGCACAAAATCCTGATCCCAAAGTTCAAAATTAGTTTTTGATTGAGGTCAAAATCACAGCTTTTGGTAAACCTGAAGTATCACAATTTAGCGTAGTTTTATTATATAGAATTCAGTATAGTAGGGTAAGATTAAGTTTAATTCGTCTTAGCCATCACCGACCCAAGTTCCACTCTTCACACCCATCTTCATATGATGTATCAGGCGTGAGAAGTCTTGGTAAATGACGTTGCATTTTCTCAACTTTCTGTTGGTCTAAGGAACGCATGCAACTAAATATAAATGTGCAGTATTCCAGAAGGGGCCACACACACTTTGTAGAGTCATTTTGAATTTCTACTTCAGGCTCGTCAAAAATCTTACTGTAGTTGCAATATATTCATTAATCAAGCGCCATATATATACGACCCTAGAGATAAAGTATGCATGGTCAAAATTGAACGAGACAACAACTGGACAAAACTTCTTCCTTTTCAAGTATACATTAAAATGGGACTGTCTTCTCTTCAAGATATGCGTGTCATATGGACTACATATGTTTGCTAGAATTCTTGATGAAGCCATCACTTGCAGTGATCTAGTACTCGCGAACACATCTGCATCCTACTCAGATATCAGAGGCTCCCCATAAATCTAAATCACGTCAAACTGAGTGTCGCTTCCCTTTGCTTACTACTTTGAAGTCCATGGTTTGCAATCTGTCTGATAAACTTGTAAAAATATCATTTATAGTATTAGTGTTTTCCTGGAAAGCATGAAACGCAGAGCATTGAGTAAGACAAAATATTGCGTCTAGATGTAACCTCGAAACGACCTAACATCACAAAAAGAGAAAAAGGATTTACTGATGGTTAGGGTGAAGAATTTAATTCACCCATGTTTGTGAGGCAGAAAATTCTGTGACTGAGGAAGAGGCGATCAATCTTTTGAGTTGGTACTCCTATGCTCGATACTCAGAGTCATGTTCCTAGTGTTATGCTGGATTCGTCATTTTACCATAAATTGCTAACGAAGGCTTTTGCATAATGACCTGGTGACTGGCACCAGATGAAAAAATGAGAATAATAAAAATTGTTAAGTGATAAAAGATACAGCTATTAGCGTTTCTTAGCAGTTTACTTCCCTTCATTGTACTCATTGAACATTACTGACACATAAATCTAGTTGCAAACATGTGCGAAAATATAGTGCAATTTATTTTCATTGAATTATTCGAGTTAACAACCCTAATTAGTAAGCATCTTATCTGTAAACCAGTGTTGAAAATTATTAATTATGACTATAGAAACTGCTTGTACATCCTCCGTGCTTAGAACTCACTTGCACCAAAATTCAAATAGATTTTACCACCTACAAACAGGACTTTAGTTGATGTTTACCCTGTTCGAATAAGTTCTGTATTGAATAACAAAAAGCAGGCAAACTTTACAAGGAATATATCGGCCGTTGTAAACACAAGAACTAACTGAAGGCGATTTGTATTTTGGATAGTTCATAACTTTGCAAACAGATTTAAAAAATCCATAGTTTCTGGTACTAATAAAAAATATTCCATCAACATCACCCATAACCATTCCACTTATACTCAAAGGGGTACTTAAATCATTAATTGTTCGCATAAAAATACAATAAGAGTACTTAAAATCTCGACTACAACTTTAATATGAGGTATTGAACACTGTACAAAGTTTTAGTTATTTTTCAGCGAAAACTATGACCTACGAATATAAAGTAACTAATCAGATATTGTTGTCCAATGAACACTTCTTATAATTATTATGGTAGCCAATACAACAATTACTACGCATCAGAGTAAATCAAAATCTAATAGTTATTTATTTTTAAAGACACAGAATTCCCTCTGATGTGAAAGCTCATGCGTGTTTAATGATCTTAGCATGGGGTTTCTGTAACCCAAATGCAATCATCATTTCGAGACACTTCAAGAAAGGTTGGCCAGGTCGGACAATAAATAACTTCGCTTACTGGTTTCAGTTTCACATTATTCTTCAGTCATTCACCCTTGCATTCGTTTTATTGGCACTAATGATTATTGTTGTACACGTTATGGGCTACTCAAATTTAAGTGATCTTCCCTTCAGCGCTCACCCAGCTTGTGGATTTGCAGTCGTTGTGCTTACTTTCTCAAATGTAGGTGGAAATAGTACTAATAGAGGGTTCAGCCTATTGTTGCATGGTTTCTCTGCACGACAAGTGGTCGTCAGAGAGCTATTACGAAATATGTTCATCAGGTGGCTGGAATTTTATCCCAGATGCTTGCAGTCCCGACGGCCTTAATCGGACTACAGATGCCTGCTTTGGGATATGGTATTTGTTCATCAAAAGTATATTCGACACTTTTTGCTATTACTGTTGTTCTTAACGTCATCGTTGAAATAACTCTTGAAGTTATTGGATACAAAATCGGAAAAAATGTCAAAAGTAATTGTGAAGACCCTGATTTTATTTATTATTACATTTATATTAGTTGTGCGGTCAATTTTAAGCATTCAAGCTGATGAAGCTGACAAACTACTGGCTCGAATTGAAGAAGTGAGTTAAACTAAGGAGAGATTTTCTATTGAAATACTTTTGCGTATTTTTGTCTGAATTATTATTTCCTTTCTCAGATAAAACCCATTGGCATAATAAATCAGAAAATTAGTACGTTGTTCTACATCTCAGCTGTCTAGAAAATATAAGTCTAAACTCCTTTAAACATGATGAGGGAAAAGCAATTGTATTATCTATTTAATGGAACGTTTAAAAATAGATAAAAACAGAGTGTGAAATATCGCGAGTAATTAAAGTAAAAATTAGTGGTGACATTTTGTATTTCAATTATGCTTTCTGAACAAATATCTGTAATGATTGTTTAACCATGTATTTAATGGTACTGCTAATTATACCATATTTACGCTTGTGAACGGTTGAAATTTATTGTTTTATACTTTACAGCATTTTGATATATTTGCCAGTCGATTTGAAAAACGGCAACTTCAGTCACCAAACTATGAGTTGGCCCCCATAATATACCCCTTTAAAATTGCTACTGTTAGTTGTACTTGAAATAAGATTGAGTGAGTTACGCGAATTCCTAGCATTTTGACGAAACTTTCGGAGCTTCAATTAACTGTACGTCCTTGTAGCAGTGACAGAAATGTCGGCCCTCATTTTCATTAGGAAAACTTTTTAATCCATCTGTGTTTAGAACTCTATTGATAGTTTTATACAATCTAATGTGGACCTTCATTAGCTTTGTTTTAGTAAGTAGTTTGCTTTTATTACTGCTGTCGATTTTATCTGATCATACATTTCTATATAGAATAAGAATAGAAACATTTGCAAGAGTAAAATCCAATTTTATCCTTTTTGTTAATTATTGCGGTTCGAACGGATGTGATCATTGGAAGTTGAGGTCATTGTGTCTCTAGGACAGCTATGTATAATAAAACTTGACATGAAGGATGTAAGCAAACACAACAAACAATGTAAGAATAAGGAGCAATACTACAAGAGATATCACCTTTAATAAACTATCGTTACGAATATTTCAAGAGGCTTGGCATTTTAGTTAAAGATCTTGCCATTATAAGGGGAGTTGTCATCAGGAGCATATTCTCATAAAACTTTGATATAAGAGGTACTTCTGAAATAACTTGAAAATTCTCATAATATCTCCCTTTTCAAAGAAAAACAATATGAAGTGAATGGAAACATCATGTAAAATCACAAAAATTCCGTAACTGGACCAATAATTCTGTCAATTCCAGTAAAAGTCTTATTTTAACGGTAACGAAGTGTTCGCACTTATTAGATTAGTTTTTAATACACTTAACTCGATATGATAAATACAGGAAAATATCTTTTAAGATCAGCATATTTTATTTTGCGATACAAGAACTGAATAAATTGATAGTTAGTTCTCAGAAAACATTGTTATCAGAGTTTGCTACTATTTCATCAAGTTACTTTTTAAAGTTTATGAAATTCAGTAATACTTTTTGGTGTCTTTTGTACTGTAACTATATACAATTCCGTGTTTTATAGTGCATCAGTTTTTGATTATTGTATTCAAAAATCACGCTCCTCATTAATTTCTTGGGTAAAATATCAGGACTAATTACAGTCTCGTAACCTTGGTATGCACAAAGATACGGTAGTAGTAACACTGAATTAATAAAGTTATACAAATATCAAACAGAAGTCACCTACTATATCGTGCCACAGAGAGACCTTACTATTTGCTGACTTCTTGAAAAGCCATCAACATTTCTTCCCCTGTTTGTCGTTAAATAGCCTACTACTTGGGTACCGTTCTTGTCACTAACAAATGCACAATAAGGAGAACCTTTTTTTTAGTTAGATCGGTAACGTATCAACTGGAAGTAAGTATAAGCCAATAGCATATCAGTCTACAAGTTTATTTCTTTAACTAAGATAAAGTTTAGTCCAAGGCTCCCAAATAATTATTTTTAGAAGTGTCTAAAGTACCACTTGGACTGTAAGTTCAAAAACAGATTTTAAAACTGTGATTAAATTGAAAATGTTTTGCTTTAGAAAATCCAATGGTATCTACTTTTATTCCGGTGTTTTCACATCTGATCATTAAAATATAAACGTTCACAAAATTACCCCATATACCACGTTTTTAAAACAATACGACTTTATTTTCCGTTGAAACACTTTTTTGCCCTTCAGAATCTAAGCAGGTAGGTCAGAAAAGTTCTTAATAAGTAGCTCTTGCTTCGGACTAACTCAGGAGTGTAGTTGAAGAGTATTAGCTTTCAGACTACACTAAGTACAAAAGACTGTATCTTCTATCTTGGAAAACTACGTTTTGTTTTGTAATTAAGCTATTTTGATCTCAATGTGCTATCAAAACTGTAAAACACCTTACTATAATAACTAAATCATTTTCAAGAAAACGATATGATACACATTAAGCTTTAGGCATTATTATATCATAAAACGATTTTAAATATTTTTAGCATTAAGAAACATTTGATGGTTAGTGAAGTCTACCATCTTGTAAGCTGTTTTAATTTGAAATAGTGTGCTGCAAAGTGTGATGTTACGTTCACTCTGTGTTCTAGGATCTAGATCTTGTTGCGTTTATCTGTGCTATAATATACTTTAAAGTTGGTTGCATCATTGTATTTTTCAAACATAGCATCAGTCAGTGTTTATTACTTTCGAGCTTTTCATGAACAGCTTTGTTAAATACAACTGATTTACTAATGCGTTCCGAAAAATGAAGATGAATTAGCCTTATTTTGAAGAATTTTAGCAAAAAGTAATGAATATATTCCAAGTATGCAACTCAGATTCTAAGATTTTATCACAATGCAGAACAGTTTTATCAAAATGTGCTTTATGTTTGAAATATTAGCAATAAAATTAACCATATTTGGATGTTTGTTTTATTTATCGGACGATGTTACTCCATATAAGATGGGAACTGAACTAATTACAATTAAATAATCATCAACTAAGATGATATTAAATGCTCAGCCAACAAATGTAGCCTCAAATCAGCAAATTTATCAATGTTAAAATTGAATATTTAGTCTTCCAAATTTATCAAACTGTAAATATTGCATTATTATTGTATAAGTCTGAAACAAACATTATCAGGCAATAAGTTTTTGCTTCTTAGCTTACGAAGAATAAAGAAACCCGTTTGTTTCAAAGTATAATAATGAGTACACAAGATATTTGAGTTTCTGGATTATCTTCACAAATTCTCATTTGCAGGCTCTATTTATCAATACGTCTTCAGGTAACTGCACACATTTTGGCCAGTCGTTATGAAATTAGATGAAGATTGTCTGATGTTTCGCAAAACTTTATTTGTATCTTAAAAATGAATATTTGCAACCAGATGAAAAAAATCCCGAGCTTGTATGTAGTTTATATACAAAACGTTTGCAGCGGCTTGATAGAGTAAATTACTAATATGTTAATTTGTGGTTCATTTAATAACTAAGATGTTTACACTTTTTTAAGCTACTCAGCACACTTATTTTTTCGGTCACTTCGGAGACTTCTTCGATTTTCACTTATAAAAGAAAAAAATGCGGCTTTTTAACAATTAAAATAATCGTATCAAGATTTAAGTGTTAGTGATTAAAATTCAAAAAAGATCCTAGCGTTCACTATCGTTTCCGCAAAGGAAAAGCTAAAAGCGTTTTTCTGCATCGCTTTGGATTATTCGTTCTCACACTGCGGCCTATATTGGGATATTCAATTTTACCGACTATTATTATCACTCTCAATAAATTATTGTCTATCCTTTCATGAGATTGGACTACAAGTTTCTTTCAGCCGATATAGCTTTTAGAAAAAAAGAATATTAGACTGTGGAGTTTTCCCATTAAAACACTTTCCAGAATACTGTGTCACTGCCTGCTTTTTATCGAGTAAGAACAATTTTTGTCCTCAATATACGAGTTTAGTCCATTCATTTAGTTACTGTAGACACAAGAATTCCACTTGGATTTTAGAACATGTAAGTATCTTTATGTAAGTAATTGAGATAAAGATATATTTCAGAAGCTTGTTCACAATTTTAGACTAGCTTATCATATAGTACCAACCAATATATGTGTCAAGTAACTTCGTAGGTTACATTATTTACAAGATCGCCTACTTAAAGTCATTTATAAGCTCTACTATGTTAAATAAATAAACAAATAAGTAGTACAATAACTATTCATACACAAACCACCATGTAAAGGCGTGGTTTTCTAAAAATAATTTCTAAATGTTAGATCATATATATGAACATGAGACTGCCCATCGAATTAAAGTGACATGGAACCTTTTTTCTTGAGAACTCTAAAATAACAAAAATATGAAAGTTTTAAATCAAAAATCCCAAGTGAGTGATACCATTCATCTTACAATTAATCCTGCAAGATTTTGAGATAAATGTTGAGATGTCTGGTAGACGGATGTAAAGTAAAGAACAACTAGAAATTTTATAAGACGAAGAACAATAATGAAACTTTCCCAAAGCGACTTTTAAATATTCTGAGTCATCATTTATCTAAGATATTACGAGATTCTTATTATTTAGTATATTTCTAATGTTATCACGGAATAGTAAGACAGGTAAACTTGCGAGATTAGCTGCTATAAGCATTTCCGTATGATTATCACTATGATACACACTATAAGGCGTTTGCTAAGCAATTTATTATTTATTTTCAGGATCCGAAACATGGAGCTACATTTTTAGAACACTATAGGATAGAACTTGTAAGTTGTCGCAAAATTTTCTGATATCTATTTGATTTATCTCAAAGATAATGAATTTCGTGAAGCATACATAACAATTTGCAAATACTGAACACCTCCATTTTATAGTTTGGCCATTTAATTGCGCTTGTTCGCTGTAATAAGTGTGTGTTCATAACAAAATGGTACTGTTTATTGGTTTTTCAGTAAATTCATGCACAGTTTTCTGTAGCACATTTTCAAGCCCTAAGTAATTTTATAACTGAAATTTTCTGCAACAATCAAGACCTATCGATATTAGTACACTTCGATCATTCCACATAAGTAAGTTCACCTATCTGTAGGAACGGTAAACTTGTATAAGAACAGCAAAACTTCTATCACCTTGTAATATAACAATATTTTTGTTAAACAATTGTATTATATTCAAGAAGCGAAATAATCTCAAGATTTAGAGAATCCTCTATTTCTTGATATCACGTTTTTAAAGATGAGGAAAATGCTTTTAGTCTGTGTATTAGCATCTGAAGGAAGGCTTTGAAAGTGTATCAATTAAGTACTGGATCAAACTGCTTATTTTCCGCAAATTTTGCTTCTAGATTACAAACTAGCAACCGGCAAGACTCACTACTCTACCTATGTCTTGGACTTAATGGAGTTGGAATAATGCAACCCTTTTGGGGACGCTAAATTCTCAAGCTCAATACTTATGAAGAAATTAACTTCAAAATTCACACATTGGCTTTTAAGTGGATTCTATTCATCGACTTTTTGTTCATTTCCCTTTTCATTGAATCATATATGAAGGAAATTTATTGAGCTTCAGCGTATTTCAATGCGTCAATAATTTTCACTGTTATTGCACATTCAAGTGTTGGCTACTCTCCTAATACATCCTTTTATCAATAATCACTGAAACTAATTGATGCAGGTTGGGTAGAAATGGATGTGAATTAATCTTGCTTGTTCTTCTCCAACATTTTATTCACAAGATTTGAAGTGATTTTAGCTAGAAGAGAAGACAATGATTGTATGTAGTACTAAATTTGTAGTTAGAGTTATCGTTGTAGCCTCGTGAATGTATCGTAGCTAATGATGGTTATGAAAGCTAATGAAAAATAGATTAATGAAATTTTAAAATTGCTTATTACTAACGTCAATTCATGTAACTTTGCGTTACCACTATAACTCCGATTCGTTTTCAATGCTGTACAATCGCAACTATATATACTTATTTTTCAGGATGATAGTGATAACAATAATAATAGTAATAATAAACTTCTGCTACACATGGTAACAATGAGGTAGAATAGACAAAGGTATTAAAAAGTTTAAAATAAAAAAAACAGGGAAACTAATAATAGTTTGATTGTTATGGACTTAAATATTCATCATAAAGATAGATAGGGAAATTATGATTGGGAAAGGATGGCTCAGCACGATAAGATGAAATACTGAAATTGAGATGGAACGTAATCAGGAGGAGCATAGAAACAGAAATAAGTCAGTTGTATTTCCGTTTTATCTGCGGTTACATAAATAATAACGGGATTAATATCAAAATATCGGAAGCATATTTGAAAGAACTACTACTACGTTGCAACTGCAATGCACAGTTTACATTCAACAACGTAATTTATTCGCAAAAGGGTGGCATAGCAATAGATCCCCTCTTGGTCCATTACTAGCAGATTGCTTCATGGCCAGTCTAGAAAACATTTGACTTAAAACGACCACCGAAAAATTTCACTTGTATAAAAGGTACGTAGATGATATTTTTATCATTTGTGAAAACAAATATTATTTGAGTCATCTTCTGAAAACATTTAATAACTGTCACCCAGCAATAAATTTCACACTTGAAGTTTAAAACAAACTAAATGTTCACTTTCTTGATGTGGAAATGAAACGGAAACAAGGTGAAACTCTAAACAGATCTACCTATAAGAGACCCAAGTTCCTACAGCTGTATCCTCATTAGTCGAAAACGAAACCTCATAATATCACTCGTTATGGGAATACAAAGTATTTGTAGTCCTGAGGTCTTAGATGAAGAACTGGGCCTCTCTAAGGAAATACTTGTCAAAAGCGGGTATCGTTTGATATTCATTGACAAAAACATGAAACTGAAACCGCCTAAAACACAAGTAACTTCAGTTGAAAAGGAAACATTATACGTGAACATCGACTTTAAGGGTGATAGAGCTGCAAATGTCTTAAAGAGGAGAATCTCTGTTTCGTTATTCGCATCAATGTTGCGGATAATATTCTCCGGCCAATCACCGTTCATCAATAATCTTAAGGACAAATTATCTCATCTGACCAACTCAATGTGCACTTAATAATTTACCCACCCATGTGGAGCCAGGTCGTTCGATGAGTAATTTATCCAAAAGAATTCAAGAACATTACTCGGTGTGGCTAAAAAGAGGTTGAAACGGCCCAATCGAGCACCTTGTGAACACAGGTCACTCAATCAAGATGGACTCTGCGTTCAAAGCCATCTACAAGGTAAGTAGAAATCTTCCGACGGCAGTTATATTGCATCTTCTTAACTTTGCCGAAACAATAGCCATACATCTGTGCAAACCAGAATTGTGTGTCCAAAAGAAATCGGTACAACCTCTTCCTCGAGCATGATCTTAAAATCTCATTTTTCTCTCTTCATACTTTCCTTTCTTTACAACCATCTGCTTCCCCTTCCATTTTCTCCTTAAACCTTCTACCTCCCTATCGATTTATTTCTACTTCTATGCTCCTCCTGATTACGTTCCATCTCAATTTCAGCATTTCATCTTATCGTGCTGAGCCATCCTTTCCCAATCATAATTTCCCTATCTATCTTTATGATGAATATTTAAGTCCATAACAATCAAACTATTATTAGTTTCCCTGTTTTTTTTATTTTAAACTTTTTAATACCTTTGTCTATTCTACCTCATTGTTACCATGTGTAGCAGAAGTTTATTATTACTATTATTATTGTTATCACTATCATCCTGAAAAATAAGTATATATAGTTGCAATTGTACAACTTTGAAAATGAATTCACCGAAAGGGGAAGCCTCCTCTGAACCAATCTTTCTTATTCAATGTTTCAATGCGTGTATTTCGTTTAATTAATTGACAGAATTCGTTTACTACTGAGGAGACGGGAGGATATAGGTAAATTTAGAATTTCTAACTAGACTATTTCAGCAGAAACAAATATTTAAAAAAGGTTCAAAGGATAAATAACTTGGTTTAGTATAAAAAAAAGCCACATTCACCAATTATTCCTATTATTTCATATAAATTACATTACCACAACTGTTTTTTCTCCCTGGTTACATAACTGTCATCTAACGGGTTATAATTATTTTTTCCTAGAATCAAAGGTCAAAAAGAGGTGTACCAAAAGAAATTACCAAAAACCATACAGTAAGTTCACTTTATTTAGTCAAACGTAATAGTGTTGCAGGTTGATCGGATTATATTTGAAAAGTCAAGCTTATCCTACATGTAACTCAATGACGGCTAATTATTTTTCTAAGTATATGATTAGAAAAGTAGAGGGTACCGTTTGATTAATATGAACATGCCAATCAAGTTATAAAAAACTACTCATAAGAGGAATCCATCTCACATATATATGATAAATTATAAGCTAACGATTAATTGTACTAGTATATGGAGAATTGTAGAGACTAAGGAGCTCTCATAGTTTAAATCATGAATTAATCTCAGCTAAACCATATTCAAGAACCCAGGATGATTGAACAGTTGTTTCGTCGTAATAAGAGATTCCTCAGCAGTGTGAACCCCTGATGACTCTGTATCTTGGAAGCAAACTCATGATCTTTGATCTATGGCACGAACCCTTAAACTATAAACCACTGAGCCAACATCCAACTGTGTATGTGTCTTGCCTCGGCCATTTAATGATACTGCATAATCCTCATCCATTTCCTGCTGTGGATAACTGTCTCACATCTGAAATGATTGAAATACACCAGTCAGAGCTTTCACCAGAACTCCAGGAGCAACCGAAAGCCCTGGGCTTGGTTCGTTGATGCATACCACTGAGGAGTCTCATACTAAAACGAAACAATTGTCTGGTGCCTTCATATTATTAACGTTGATCTCGCTTAAATCAGTTCATGACTTAAACTCAGAGAATTTTTGTATGTTTGTTGGAATTTGAAGTTATGTGAAGTTGGACTACATAATTTTTAGGCAATAATAACTAGTCAAATTTTAACAATAGACAGTTATGAGTTAACCTATGTTGCCTCATATATCATGATCGTATAATGTTAAAAATGGACTCCATGACAATGATCACTTCACTTTATAAAAGGAGATCTAATGACCTATGGGGCATTATATTACCCTCGATGATTCACATGGCCTATGATCCTCCAGGAGGTCTAACAGGCGATAATTCACAGCTTGTAATTATGTAAACTCCACATCAGTTGTCTTGGTTAAATCCTTATAGAGTAGCTGTAGTTCGTGGATAAATTATTTCACCAACACTAACCAATGTAGGCTGGACAGTTTACCGTTAACATCCATATACAGTGTAAAACCACTATTTCTGAGGGTTGTATTTCAGAACTCTGCTTTCCATTCATCCGACATTTGAACATGGTTTTGGATTATTAGTAGTGACAATGATCAATATGCTGCCACCTTTAAGTACCTGTGTCATTCAAATGAGCTGTATACAATTAAGGTTGTGAAATAGATTTCATGTATTCCGCATGCGTAATAGCATTATAACTAGTAAACGAGTATCTTTTTTTCTCATAAATGGATGATTATGACAATATTTAATTAACATATTTGCAACTTTTTAAAAAATTATCTTAATCATAAATTATTTAGTTGATGTACTGTAGAAAATACTACGATTAGGAATCAGGCTTTTCAAAGAAATCTCTATTTCAACGGTTTATCTTGAAAATTCATATGGACTCATCTCTTTGAAATATATTTGTTCATCAGCATAAGACATATTAGATACGCCTTATATTTTACTGTCAGTCAGTCAAACACCATTTAGAATCTGGTACATACTTTAATATAATAAGCCAAGTCGTAAAAACTGCTACGCATGGATTGAATAAAACTTACGACTGTTACCACTAGTGGAGGAGCATGGGTCACTCACCAGCTTTCTCCATCAAACTCTGTTCTGGGCAATCCTCTCCAACTGTTTCCAACTGCTATTCAGTTTTTTTATGCCTAGATTAAATTCCCGACGCGATGCGTTCTTTGGTCCTCCTCGTTGCCTTTCGTCTTCAGGACTCCAAGTCAGGGCTTGCCTCGTGATGCAGTTTGATGACTTCCGCAATGTATATCCTACCCACCTCCAGTGTCTCTTCCTAATTTCCTCTTCATCTGGAAGTTAATTTGTTCTCTACCACAGTAGGTTTTTGCTTATGGTATCCGGCCAACGGATAATGAATATCTTCTGTAGACAACTATTTATAAATACTTGTACTATCTTGATGATGGTTGTAGTAGTTCTCCACGTTTCAGCTCTGTACAATAGAACCGTCTTGACATTTGTATTGACGATTCTGACTTTCATACTGTTTGACAGTTGTTTTGAGTCCCATATGTTCTTCAACTGTAGGAATGTTGCCATTAATTTTCTAATCCTCGCCTTTACGTCCTCATCCGATCCTCCTTGTTCATCGATGGTACTTACCAGGTACAAGAAAGTTTCCACATCTTCCAGAATTTCTCCATCAAGTGTGATTGGGTTGGTGTTCTCCATGTTGTATTTTAGGATCTTGGTTTTTTCCCTTGTGTGTGTTGAGACGTACTGATACATAGGCTACTGCTACACTAATTATCTTCATCTGCATTTGTTGATATGTATGGGATAGAAGAGCTAGTTCATCTGAGAAGTTCAAATCGTCTAGCTGTCCATTGTATTCCGTGCCTCCTCTGAGATGTGAAGACCCTCATCATCTAGTCAACAACTAGAAGAAAGAGGAAGGGGGAGAGTAAGCAGTTTTGTCTGACTGCGGTCCTCACTTAGAATGCACCTGTCAGCTGTCCTCCATGTACGGCTTTGCATTGTAGTTAGTCGTATGAATTCTGAATAATGGTGACGATTTTCTCAGCTACGCTAACCAGAAAAAACCAATCAAATCAAACCCAAAAGTTAATTAGTATTTTAAAATACGTAATGAGTGTTATCTTATCCAATTTATTGTTCAAAATTTATACATAAAACATGATTTCATATATGAATCTGTTATTTCAGTCTTTACCCTCATTCCATACTTTTCGAACGAACTGGTTTTTGTTAAAAAGAACTTTTATTGGTTGTTTATATGAAAGCGATTTTACCACTGATGACAAAAATATTCATCTGTTGACATGACTTTTTACCACCGCTAGTATTGAGTTTCAACCTAATATATAATATTTTGTTAGGAACTCCTATGATCGTCTTATGAATAGCAATTAAACACTAACGTGAGCCTTTAATAGTAGAAAACGTAGTATTATATGTTAACGTATGTTTTGTGCAATCAATAATCCTAATATCGCCAGAAGATAAGTGGATTCTTTAAGTTGAAATCTTACGTTCTCATTTTAGAAATCAAACATTTATTGTTATTTCAAGTAGCACATAATAGTATTACATGAACACTGCTAGTAGACTGTATAAATTGTTTTGTAATTCGTTATACTGAATGATAACTTATCTAACGTCAAAATCACTCGTCTTGTAAATGGTGTAAGCAACATTATAGGCTGGTTAATCCCTGTACATATCATTGGATCGTGTATTATTTTGATTATGCTCTAGACATTTCTCTACTTTTAAAATGTTTGTGTTTACAAAATGCATGTCAGGCAAAACATTTATTGTAGGTAAAATAAAATTGCTCCGAAATTTATCTTGTTTTTTTCATTCGCAGTTATGGGTAATCAAATACTTTCTTCTTGCTATGCATTTGGCGCTCAGTTTTAGCTTGGTATTTGTCTTAGTTGTACTGTTAGCTGCATAACGTTTCCCGTGTTTCTTCGGTGGAGTAAAATAAAGGAAAAGTCAACACTTTTACTTTGATTTTTTATGAAGTCAATTTTTAACTAGTAAAACACAATCTATGTCATACTAAATAAAATGTATACGAACATCGAAAAGTTGTCTTTCTCTTTACCAGATCTTTTAATTCAGTTCAGATTTCATGTAATATTGATGTGATCAGTACAAAATGTTAATACTGTAACATTTTCCCTGTTGCTAACTTCACAACTTAAAAAAATAACGAGTGCAGAGAAATGTAGTATGTCTTCGTTTTGTAGAGCCTCTTACAAATGTTTTTTGAAAGTAAGTCAGTTATTTAGTTAAAGAAATTAAGGACCACTTTTATATGTTAAAACGTTTTAAGTATTCTGATGAGTTTATGAAAGTATCCTGATACTTTTTGATAAATCATAGGCTTAACCATTAAATATTTTTAGTTATTTAGTATTGAGCTATTTGATGTAGTTCATCAATATCCCATCTAGAAATTCTGATTGTTTATAATGTATGTATAGTCTTAGGGAAGGTCTCGTCTATACCTTGACGAAAACTAAACCTCTCATAAAAACTGAATGTCAGTAAGTTTGCTATCAGTAGTTATTAGTTGATAAATCAACTTCAACGAAAGTATCTAAATTTTGTCAACACTATCCTACCAAAAAGTCATTATTGTTGGATTCAACACAATTTTCATACACTTCCATAACATAGACTAAACTAGTATATTCTCACACCATTTCTTTTGAAACATCTTTGTTTAATTTAGCTGAAATTAAAGTTTGCGTCTTCTCTTACCCAGCAATAACAGTAACAAATATGTGTAAACAATCATTCAGAATTTCTTGTTACGACATGATTCAATCTGTAAAAAATGAAATATTGATGTGCATATTTATCTTTTGCACTTATAAATCACAGAAATATCACAAATTTCGCATATTAGTGATATTATTATTATCAAGGAATATTATGATTTGCGATCATTATTATGAATATTAAAACCACTTTTCTGAATAACAACTATGCAGCTGTAAATTATGGAGTTAAATGAAAACAGACTTCGAAGAAATAATTATTAACTCTTTAACACTTACGCAGACTAAAATAATGAGATTTAGTTGTAATTATCCGCTCATCTTAAAATTGATAAATATAATTCATATTAAAAAATTAGTATACTGAGGGTCGTCATTGTGTACCTAAATTATCGTAGCTAGGATTTATCGACAGTGTTAACAATGAAATAACTATGACTTGTTTTGCTATTTTTCTAATGCAGAACAATATCTCAAATTACAGTTGATTATTGGTGAAATTGATGATTATACATCCTTCTGCATATTTGTGGTTTAATTGCTAGTCAGTTCTGGTAAATGGATTACATTTATTGAAATTAAACTAAATGATATACTTTGCTTTGAAGCGCATGAGGATCTCAAATAGACAAATTACAATATTTTTAGGTGATTTGGACAGTCAGCAGTTAATCTTTGGTCTAGGTTTCGTGATAAATGAAACTCGTCAGCAAGGTGTAGCTGGAACCTCAACGGAACTGATTCTTTACATCAATCAGAGATGTGGTATTGATTACTTCTCTGTGATTACTTAAACTACATTAATATTTGCTAAAATGGCATGTTCTATCTAAATAACTGGGGACATTAACTTAAGTGGATTTACTACTTTAGCTTTGGATAGTGTATATATTATTTAGACAGTACGTAATTCGAACTTTAGCATCTTAAATGAGTTATATCAAAGAATAAGTTGGAGGATTAACTCATTATTGTTGAGAGTAATTAGGAGAATATCAAAAGCTTTAGCTATTTAAAATCCTAAGTAATTCCGTTCTAATTTGTTCGCGAATTTAAAACAGCGATATGGAATTGTGCTTACCAGATTTATAGTGTTTTAGAGACTACTATTGAAGTGAGAATAAAATTAGTTCCAATCCTGTCATATTTACATCTTTCTATCTAATTCACTTTCTCAGGGACTAAAATCAATCTTATCAGCCGCATCAGTCTTTATCGCTTGTGAATTCCTTTATTATGCTTGCACACCAAGCAGAAGTTATAACGAATTTCCGTAAACAACCCGAGGATTAGAATAATGAAATTAGTTTACCATAATTACAGGACGGAGTTGAATGGAGAATACTGGTGGGCGGCCTATGCTCCTCCATGAGGGGTAACAGGCGTAAGTAAGTACATATACTAAGTGGAAGTCGATGTGTGAATTGAAGTAGTACCTCGATAATAACAGCTGCTCCTAATTATAAAAACGGTATTATAAAATCGGTAAGTTATTATTAACTGCTTCTGAATAAACCTTGGTTTCGAGATTAGCGTAATGCACTTCTCGTTGTTCGAAAAAAACCTTGGTTTTATATTTATGTCAATTATCCTGAATCCTTCAAAGTCACTCATTAATTGATAAAGTGTAATGCTTATTCCAAGTATTCACAAATGCTTCTTATGAGTTAAGTCACTTCAAGTGGTACAGTATTTCAGCTACATCAATTATTTCGCATTTTCATCAATAAAAAAAAATTCTGGTGACAGATGATAGCATCCAGTTAATTTTTTCTAGATTTAAGTCCAGGAAAAGCTTTTAAATTATTCATATTTGATATGTTCAATCAAATGGTCGAATACGAGTGTTAGTAGACACATTCAAGCATGAACCTACAAGGCGATTAGACTAATCTTTGTTACTGAACGAGACGATGCTAACTGTATTGGCTCTGAAAGAGCTAAATATATATAAATCATATCTTTTTAGAATTAAAAAACTTTCCTCAATAAAGTTAAGTACAAAGATGGAGAAACGTTTTAATCGCTGTCATTAAGATAAATCGGCAATCAGTAATCTCTATTCTTAATCGGTTAGATTCATGCTGCTGCATGGTTTGAATAACCGTATTGGAAGCCTCATTATATCTTTGAAAATAACGGTGTTAGTTGGTTAACCACTACATCCACTGGTTCGAAATATGTATGAAAAACTATAATACCTAATGTGTTTGTAAAGATATATTCAAAGTCTGTTTCCATCAGTTCCTATCTTATACAGAGTATCGATGGGAAAAGAGAATCATCGAATAATCTTTTGTCCCAGTTTACGATCAATGAAGAAACGCATCAACAATACAAATGGTATTAATCCTGTAAATCTCAGTTCTTCTGACACCATTTAGTCACTTCACGATAACGTTGTCATCAATCTATATTATTGGTTTATATCTAACTTACTAGCAGCTTGAGTAACACTACTGGTCACAGGTTCTCACTTAAATATTGAGATATCCAAATTCAGGTACTGAGTATTGCTTCCTTCGAAGACACCGTGTCACTGATGAGTAGCGCTAACGGGCAGAATAAATAGCCTAGTGTTACTTGGTTCCTGGTGTTTATTTTGGTTGATGTTAATTCTTGATGAAATGTAACGTAGAATTGTATTTTGTTAAATGGACAATTCCTCTTCGTTCAATTATCGTCCTATGATAATTTTACTATTCGATAAGGTAATAAAATACTGGAATGGGGGTAAGTGTTAAATGTCAGTTACTTTGCTCCCTGCTATTATGTCATGTTGTTGCAAACTATTTGTGTGGTATTGTCCGAGAGAGCGAAAGGTTCAATATAATGACACGGAAAGTTATTAAATCTTGAACAAATATTTCTTCTTAATGTAATTCAATAATGTACAAGAAATGAATATTGAAAAATTTCACTTATGGTATATCTGTTAAAAATGGAATGATGCTTGGAAAATAGACAACAATAATCAAAATCAATAAATTACTTTAACAAACAAGAAGTTTCATCACAATTGGCATCAAATGCGGGTAGATTTTATTGTTCTGACATAAAAACTCGCATTTTTGCTAAACAGCTTCGTTGTTGCATTATGAATATGAATAAAAATAATGTATCGGATGACTATATACAACATACATTCATTAGGCTAATAATAATTATATGCAACTTATTGATTTGTTATGATCAAATACCATCATTAACAATGGTGTAGTGTATACGGGTGTAGATGAGCATATAGAAATGCTATTATGATAGAAAATGAGTAATTAAAACTTATTGAAATTAAGTTAATTTTTTCTCACTTTGTTGCTTAAATACTCACATTGTTTCAGTTTGTTCGTTTCCGATTATAAGATGTCAAAGTGCTGAACGATTAATAATAATTTCAGCAGTTTGTAAACTTGTTTTTACTTTGAAGGTAACATATAATAAACACCAAAATCAGCTGAAAATCGATTAACCGTTTCGTAATTAAATAAGATATTTCAGTTTTCTGTGCTTTCAAGTCAACTTGAGACGGAACTAAGTTCTGTGGATCTAACTACTATGTTCGTTATTTTCAGAAACATACGTATCTGAATTACTTACTTACGCCTGTTAATCCTCGTGAAGGAGCATAGGCCGCTCACTAGCATTCTCCATCCAACCATGTCCTGGGCAATGCTTTCTAGCTCTTCCCAGTTGTTATTGATCCCTTTTATGTCTGCTTCTATTTCCCGACGTAATGTGTTCTTTGGCCTTCCTCTTTTCCACCTTCCTTCAGGATTCCAAGTTAGGGCTTGCCTCGTGATGCAGTTTGACGATTTGCGTAATGCATGTCCTACCCATTTCCATCGTCTTTTCCTAATTTCCTCTTCAGCTGGAAGCTGGTTTGTTCGGTCCCACAAAAGGATGTTGCTGATGGTATCCAGCCAATGGATTCTGAGCTTCCTGCGTAGACAACTATTTATAAATACTTGTACATGTTTGATGATGGTTGTAGTAGTTCTCCAAGTTTCAGCTCCGTACAGTAGAACTGCCTTGACATTCGTACTGAAGATTCTCACTTTGATATTGGTTGAAAGTTGTTTTGAGTTCCATATGTTCTTCAATTGTGGGAATGCGACCCTTGTTTTGCCAATAGTCGCCTTTACGTCTGCATCTGGACCTCCTTGTT